TGAAACAGACTCTTTACATTCAACGAGAACACCATCATTTAGTAGTTTACTGATTTCGTTAGTTAAAAAATCATGTTCATGTTTAGAAAAATGGCGATTATTAGCTACAAATGCCTCAGGTGTGGACTCAAAAGGTATATCAATACCATCTTCAATCCAACTAAGAACCGTTGAATGTGTCTGAATTTTCACCCATTCCGATATGGATGTTCTCAGAGCTGAAAAACACATTAATAATCAAATACATGAAACAATAACAAATAATAATATTAACTGTGGGACATAGGCACATATATTAATTTTCATCAGTGTTCCTTTCACTTGGAATTGTTGACTGAAATCTCTGATAAGAGTCATTTGATCTCCGTTGATAATTATTCATAAATCCTCCTCGAAAAAATCTTCCTCGCTGGGGTAGATCACGTCTATTATAATAACCTCTATTATAACGATTCGAGCTGACAGGGTTAGTAGATTGACTGTACTGGTATTTAGCTGCAGATATTTCGGCTGCAGTTTTCAAGTTATTTAGACTATCTTGAGTAAATGTTGATGAATTTCGTTCGAAATTTTTGAACAACTTTGATGTTTCTTTGTCAAATGTATTCTGTACTAATAAAGCAGTGTATTCAGACTGAAAGTAATTTATTTGAGCTGAGAGAACAAATAAATGATTTAAATCAACTTCAGTGACTGGTCTAATTTTTAAGTCTATGGTGTGCAGCCAACGTAACGCTGTTTCGGTGTATCGGGCTGATTTGCTAATTGACGATAAATGATTTTGATCAGGCTGTCTAATACCAGTTTTATTGTCAAATACTTTTAACTCACTGGGAAGTTTCACTTTATTCAGGGAATCTCTTAACGACTCGAATTCCCTTTGAATATCGGCTGCACTGTCAGTGTTTGTAGTGGGACCGATGGCGCTTGCTTCGTATGCGTGCGCATCCCGGCTTATTCCATCTCTGTACCGGTCGTCTTCGTCATTAAATTCTTCCTTCTTGGAATGCCCACGTTCTAAATTCGATAGTCTTTGATCGAACAACGCTTGACTAGACCCTATCTTACTTAGCTGACTAAAAATGTTGTCTAATTTTACCGACAAATCGTTAATTTTGTCTTCATCAGACATTGCGCTCTCCACCCGTGAATTGGCACTTTTGGCAAAGACTATTATACTTGTTTACGACATGTGTCATAAACTTTAATGTCGTAAAATTAATATTGATTCGTGTGACTACAGGCTTCAGTGGTAGTCTCGAACTATCAGCGGTGGGCTGTATTTCTGTAGAGTGCATGGGTCACCCTACAATCTGATTGATTGATGCTTTGAGGCACGATAACTTTGGTTATAATGAAGTGAGAGTGATTACCTAGTCATTACCGTGACTAATATCGATGGTGAGAATTCTCTGCTTAGGCTAATGAGCGATAAGCAATTGGATTGGTCAAGACTTTGGAACATAACAACTCTGCTTTTAATTGAGGTAGAATTTTTAGACTTGATGTAGATTTCATTAGGTGAATGTCTTGACTGAGTTCAATGATTAACATTTTGAGCTGAAGCTAAGCAGAGCTAATCAATTTCATTGGTCAATGCTTAGGGACAAAATAATCTTGATTCTATCTGATAGAGAGGGATGAAACTTATAGTGTATAGTTTGATTGCTTGATACTTTTGAAAAAAAATAAATGTGCGATTAATTAATGTGTGTCATCTATTTATTTTGGGATTTCAGCGGAGGACATCAGCCTCACTGTTGGCTTAAGTTAATAGTATGTTATTTCCACCTTATAATAACTTTGAATGGACTGTTTATTCCCATTACTTTTAAAATTATAGATGAATTATCAATTGGCATAACTCGGATGGAAAATAACAACTGTTATATCTCTACAACATTTAATTTCTTGATTTAATTATTTAGAATAATTTTTATACACCCACATTTTCACAATTTTTATCCGATTTTGTTGAAACTTGAAATGTAGGTTTATAACCCAAAGATCTCAGTTCCTTTCGATATTCGCGCATATATTCGCATAGCTTCCTGAATTATGGCCCCTGATTGTACGAAAAATCCTGTTTTTAGCTTGTGGACCCTATAGAGGTCATAATTTTTATCCGATTTAAAAAAACATATTATTATATCACCGTTACACACTAAGGACAACGGAGTTCGAATTTCGTGAAAATCGGTCCAAAATGGCCGCCGTTCGTTCTCAAATAGCGGAAAAATATGGTATATCAAGGTTTTGGACCCTATAGAGGTCACAACTCTTATCTGATTTTGTTGAAACTTGAAATGTAAGTTTATAACCCAAAGATCTTGGTTCCTTTCGATATTTGCGCATATCGAATTATAATTTCATGAATTATGGCCCTTGATTGTAGGAAAAAGCACTTTCTTCTTAGCTTGTTCTCTATCCATCTCTCGAAAATGTGGGCGTATTCTGCCTGGCAGCCGCTGGTTATTCAATCTGCGAATGTATTAAACAAACAAATAACAAAATAATCTGTTACCAAGCTTTCATCAAAATAAATGCTGGGTTTTGTTCGTTATATTGGATGGAAATGTAGTAACGTTATCAATAAATGGATGGAAAATAACGTTATCAAAAATGTGACGGATGGAAAATAATGTTATCAAAAATGTGACGGATGGAAAATAACGTCATAAATTCTAATGATTGAAATGTAAAGCTTTTCAAATAATCTGAGAGCCATTTCTATCCAGGGAGGTAATAAGCTCCAGATTTGATTGAGTTCCTGTTCTAAAAATAGCTTTCCATGATGTCATAAGCGGGATATCCTCCTGTGTGGCAATTTTTATTGTCGCAAATAAATAAATACGTAATGTTAGCGGGAATGTGAAAGGAAATGGGTATTAATATGACTTGGATTACCACACAATTAATTCAAACTGATTAATAACATTGTAGAAAGTCCGTCTTAGGTAAGGGTGTGACGATTAGTCGGTTTAGTCGGAGTCGGTTCGGTTTTACCTACAAACCGGTTCAAGTTTCGGGAAATCAATAGTCATCTAAAAAATACAGCATGATATAAACCAGTCGCCCGAATATTATAACATGTTTTTTTTTAAAAAGATACATGTATTAACGATCGACAATTATGGGGGCGAATAAGCAATAAGCTACATCATTGATAAATGGTCGACAATAATAATAACGAGACAGTATACTATATTCCGTAATCGGTCGTGGATATTCTCGCGATTACAAGCGAGTGTGTTTTTGCATACCTAATGAAGTTATTTTAAGAATACGTTATTTGATTGGTCGGTCGCTAAGGTCAATGGTTGAAGTGCCCAATCAGAAACAAGCAATCCTCCAGGTTAGGTCAATAGGCATGCGCACTGAGCTGATACACTTTCTCGTCGGTTTATCACTAATATTATTGATCAATACGTCATTGTTTGAAGTTTTTTATATGTTGTATTTATTACTTTTATTAAAAAGATTAAACAGGAGATTTGAACAAACTACATAGTACAAACAAAACCAAATTTTTTAATGTACTGGACACATAAAACATAGAACTGTATGTATGTCGCCATTACAGTTTTAAGCTCCGTATATAAAGGCCAGTATATTAGCGTGTATTGTAGACTATGGAAGACTAATATTTTTCAGTTAGTTTTCATTACCGACTAAATCGAATCGGTTCGGTTTTTTAGCCGCCGACTAACCAGTTCAAGTTTTGCTTAGTCGTCACACCCTTAGTCTTAGGTCTAATTTGCCTGAATTGTATATAGAGGTGTCAATCAGCTAGATCTCTATCTATTGTTCTTGACGCGAGTGTGATTTTTTCCTTCAATTGACAAGTCTAATTATAAATTAACCGTGGGAGGAATTGAAGGAGAAACTGAAAATAGAGACTCATCAAGAAATGGCAAAGCTGTTATTGGACAGGTAGGCCTAATTTGCAAAAAAAATATTATCATGAGAATCTATATTCAGCTTATTATTGGCCATTGGGAAAAATTTTGAAAAATATTACTGTTTATAAATATTATAATGTCTTTATAAAACATGTGCATGTGGGGATCACGGTGGGTAAGACGCTGGCTCACTACCCTGGAGGTCGGGTGTACGATCCTTGCATTTGCTGAGAAAGTCCATCCAGATTTTCCGGCGTGGTTCGATCCCCCTTTCCAGTGATGCAGGACAGCTGTCTAGTCATTTGAGGGGACGAAAAACTAAGATCCTGCGTACATATTGGCGTGCACGTAAAAGATCCCTTAGCAGTTGGAATTAGATATATGAGTAGGCTGTAGTGCCGCTGTCCAGGCAAAATTTCCCTCATAGCACACTGTATTGCGTATGCCCGTCTTCATTAGCTCAGTTCGGAGTAGGACGCTAAACCCCATTTCATTTTATAAAAGTTGTGAAATATTGTTTCTATTTCTTTACCATTGTTTAAATCGCTAATATTTGGGACCTAGAAATTGACACAAATGGGTCACAACGTATATAATAATGTAATATATGTGTACATGTATATAAACTGATTTACAATTTACATTCAATCAATTCTGTTTTTACTGTAAATTCTAATCAGTTATGTTCGACGAAACGTTCCAGAGGTATCAATGGGATGGCAATCTATGTAGCATCTGGTTATTGCGTATTTATTACGCAGGCTCTCCACATAAGAATATGAGGTCACCGTCCTGACTTGTGGAATATGTCTAGCCCTGTTATTCGAGTCCCTTGTTACAAATGGTACACATGTAAAATGTTCATTTTGTCTTAAATATTGGATGTCAGAAGCCTACCTTTTCCTGGTAATATCACAACATCAATGTCGATTTAAATTGACAAATAATTTGTGTCAGACTTTGGATGATATTTGGTTAGAGACTCAGCTACTGTACTTTAATCTAAATGGTTGAGTATCTCATATGAGCTATGGTTTATTAGTAACCTGAATTTAAATTTAATTATTGTAAGGTTTTCTTTAACTATCTTGTATAATAAGTAATATTACCAGATGATTTTCTGATGAATGACCGGTGAATGTATTTATTTTTTCAGCTATAGCGGAATTTGTGTGCCTTCAAATGCTGGAGCACTGTATGTTTTAGAACTATCATCCATTCATGGCAGGTAATATTTGTACAGCAACTAATTAAATTTTTTTTGACAATTATGGTACATGTAGATCACCCTGGGCTGTTTCATCCCAAAATTACATGGGTCATTTCATTCCACTTATATAGGGTAATTGTTTCATCTCACTTATATAGAGTCGTTTCATCCCATAAATTTAAAAACGAGGATTATATGAAAAAACACGAACACAACTTTTATATGAATTTTTAATATTTTATTTATATAGTAATAACAATAACAATTTTATCAATGTTTCGAATTATTCAATGACATTATTGTCTCAGTGAAATTATTGTTTCGTTCACTTTGCATTATATCTGTTATTACTACACCTCAATTTTTGTCACAATATTTTTCCAACGCTGTGAAAATCTTAGTTGTTGGTAAGCTACCAGACACTTTTATACATGATAGTACCAATTATTACAACTAATTTTGTTTTTGTAGTACTGATACAGACAAGGGAAAGAACAGGCCTCCTGGAATGTCTACAACCTCTGTAGGAATTAGCCCCTTTCAAGACGATATAACTCAAGAAAAGTAAGTACCATAGTAAGTTTGATTGGATAGATGAGTTAAATTACAACTTTACAGTAGTATACTTTGTACATAAATTCCTTCGACTTATATATAGGCTAATTTATCTCTCTATAAATTACAGCATTGTCCAGAAGTGCAGATTTATTCTGACATACTTTTTTCTGAAAAATACAAGAACCCTTACCATTTTTTACTATAGAATCAATTAAGTGTTGTAAAATTTTAAAATGTCTCGCACAAAACAAGAATTTGTATTAATTGCCAAACCATCCTTGAACTATTTTGATGTCTTGAATTTACTATCTTTATAGGGCCAGACTCGATGATAAAGGCAAAGCGAGGCGAAAATGAACACTAGACCAGGATGGCCCTTGAAAAATTGCAGGCACAGTTGCAAAACCCCAGGTAGAAACAACTTCAGAGACCGCCAAGAAACAGAAAACCAGATTTTAATGGAAGTATTTTCATAATAATCGCATTGGATTAAAACCCATGTACTGTCCATTTCTGTCTTGAAACGATAATCCTATTTTCAGAACATAACAGGAGGATACTACTACTCCATTCCCTGTACCAAGACGTCCGTTGCATCACATAACAAATTGTCTGTAGGCTGCATGTCTTCTCCTTCGATTAATGGCTTCATAACAAATTGTCTGTAGGCTGCATGTCTTCTCCTTCGATTAATGTCTTCGTCCATATCAATTGCTAGTACACCGTTTCTATATACATTGGCAAGATCCAGAACTCGTGGCTCTAAACAATACTGTTCAAACTTCTGAAAAAATTAAATTAAAGATACATTATGCGAGATTAGATAACGAGTTGGCAGTTCGCACTATAATAGTTAAAAACTAGATAATGTAAAGGCAATTTGCTGAAAATATCTGTCAAATTGATCCACTATGAACCGAGAAATAAGTGATCGAAAGTTCCGCATAGCCTTGGTTATCATTACTAAAGTCGGTACGACAAAAATCATAGTCTAGATTATCCATTTAATCATTAAATCGAGAAGGAAAGTTATGCAGCAAATCGTATCATAATCCAACAAATATCACAGGCTAATGTTGACATCGAGAGTTGATATGGTCTGGATACGTTAATTAATGTCTAATTAATAGTTGATATATCATTTCAGGCCTAAAGAAAGACCTACAATAGGCATATTTAGCTCTTGCATTATATGTATGTTTAAACAAGTCAATTTGAAGTGACTGAAATGAAGGCTGCCGAACTTCCTGCTGCCGGTACTACCCAGGCCAATGACATTAATTTTTGTGGATGAAATATATCAAAGGATATTATTACAGAAAAAAATCACTTACCGGTCGCAATGAAATACAATTCTTTGATCTGGTACCGCAACATAACTTCTCAATATCTGTTGGCATATCTCCACATCTGTCATAGGAACACCAATCTGGCACAGTTGAGGCTGGATATGGGGGTTCGATTGGCTGTTAGTTTTTTAGTTCTTCAGAAATGTCAAATAAAACTGCAGGCATTTTTTCAGCTTCTGAAATTGTTTGAAAATTATGTTTGCAATTTGTAAATAATTATCTCTGGGCTCATATACTGTGTAAATATTTGATATAATTATTACCAGAAATGATCATATATATATTTGTTATATAATTACAAGAAAGTGTGTGAATAATAATCCATTGTGAGCTTAAAAAATATTTCTTTATATTTGTTTTCATAAATATTCTTGCTTGCTGTTTCTGTGTATATATTTTACAACTATTATAAAAAGCTTTTTTTCTTACCTTGAGTCCCTCAGTTTATTCTTTTTTGAGTCTTTCGACTCTCTCCCTTGTTGACTCAGTTTTCTCTTTTTGTCTTTTCCCTCTCTTTGGTCGCGGTGGGGTGGTTTCGGATGACATTACATGTAATTGCAGCTTCTGTTAAGATCTAATTGTCCTTGATGTAGATGATGCTGATGATGTTGAAGGCTGGGCAGCATGAGTTGCTTCTGGCATAGTTGGTTAAGTAGAGACAGTGGGTTTTGACTGACCTCAAATAGACAGCTTTCGAAATACCTGTAAAACCAAAATGCAAAGTGAATAAAAAAAGGGTTTTCATAACTCATAGAAAATTGCCTAATTGCGCACAAGAAATTTGTCGGACCTGTTCTACATGTCCTATCCTATGTGTCCATTTACCACAAGAATCACAAGTAACTGCTTCTTCATTGGCACCAATGAATTTAGTACACACATAGGACACTGTCAATCATAATAATTATCAAGTTCAGAAGTGCAGAAACAAATCTGATGAATGATTTATTTAATTTGATATTATTTATATATTTTGAGGGTGAAACCATGTTGCAACTTCAAGAAGTTCAAAATAATCAGCTTCTATGATATGATCACTCATTATCAATTTAAAAAATGCAGGTGGATGAAGCCATATCGGTCTAATCAAAGCTAAGAATGAACCAATTATCAAATTTTAAAGATAATCTGTCTGTTAGATCCATCAATTAGGTACTGGTAACCAAACCAAGTGAAGCCATGCAGTGAGTCGAGTGACTGATAATAATTTAGTCGAAGTAGGCCTACCATTACAAAATCACAATCATTCAATTTCAATCTAAATTCCGATCATTCACTTTGCAATTCGTTCCTGACTTTGAAGCCATGAGAGCATAAGTAAAAAATCGTAATGAATATAAACTTACCGGGAAAAATTGATTCATTGTTTAGCATGGATCGTAGCAGTTCAAGTCCTATCCTTCTAAAACTGTCAGCTATAAATATTATACAGCGAAAAGCTTAAGCGTATTTGACACATTGCACATGCGCAACAATGGGATTCCCCCTTTTCCACTTTGTGGCATGTTTTACCAGTCTCTCGGATAGTGAAATTTGTGAGAACACCATCCACCCAACAGAATTTTTCCATTTTTTTTAAATACCATTGATGAGATCATGTATATACCACTAATGAATTGGGATAGTGTATAATAGTACAATTTGTTGACCAGAATGAAGATTTGGACATATTATTCAGTTACAACAAGAGTGTTATTGGCCCTTTAAGAGTAAAAATATGGTATATCAATGTTGTGGGTGGACCGTCTAGAAGTCACAATTTTCTTCTGATTTTGATAAAACTTGAAATGTAAGTTTATAACTCAAAGATCTTAGTTGCTTTCGATATCCGTGCATATCGGATCGTAACTTCCTGAACTATGGCTCTTGATTGAACAAAAAATCACGTTTTTAGCTTGTGGTTCCTGTAGAGGTCACAATTTTTATCTGATTTAAAAAAAATGTGTGAATATATCACCATTACACACTAAGGTCTTGGGACTTGTTGATAATCGCAGATACCCGAACATAACTGACTGGATTATGGCCCCTGATTGTTCGAAAAATGGCATTCTTAGCTTGCGGATTCTATAGAAGTCACAAATTATTTTTCCGATTTTAAAAACCATTTAAATATTTCACAATTGTACCATATTAAGGTTGAATTCGAATTTCGGGAAAATCGAAATGAAACTGCCCAAGAAAATGGCCGCTCTTTGTACGCAAATTGTGTCAAAAGTATGCAATACGAAGGTTGCTGTCCCTTAAGAGGTCACAATTTCTATCCGATTCTGGTGAAACTTAAAACATATCTTTATATCCCAAAGATCTCAGTCCTTTTTGATATTTGCGCATTTCAGACCATAACTTTCTGGATTATTGCCCCTGATTGTACAAAAAATCCTGTTTGTTTTTAGCTTAATCGCTATCCATCTCTTGCAAAATGTGGGCATATCATTCCTGGCAGCCGCTGGTCTTTTTTTTTGGGGGGGGGGGGCTGAGGGAGTAGGTCAATGTTTCAGAAAAATCCTGTGGTTAGATTCTGAGAAATCCGATTTGCAAAAACACACACACGAAATATCATAATCGAAAATTGGAAATTGCAGGTGAAAATGAATTTCGTCAAGGTACTCAAAGAAAAAAAAATTAGTAAAACAGGTAAAAAAAACACAAAGTTACGACTATGCATTGTTAGTTTTTTTGTTCGTAAAATTCTGTGATTTGGAATTCGGAAAACATTTTGAAAATATTTTTAATCAATACTCACCACCCATTTTTTGGGTGGGGGGGGGGGTACGTCAAAGTTTCAGAAAGATCCTATGGTTAGATTCTTCTGAGAAATCCGATTTGCAGAAAACACACACACAAAAAAATAATAATAATCGAACAGAAACAATAAGCTTTTCATATGTTATATGAAAGCTTAATAAAAATAATAATCCAAACAAAAACAATAGTGTTTCACACAAGCAACGCAGTGTGAAACCCTAATAATTTTAGTAACAACAATAGTCTTTCAGACGAAAGTCTGAAAGCCTAATAATAAAAAAAAAATAATCTTAACAAAAACAATAACTGGAATTGGCAGAAAGGTTGACAATCAATCTGCTTGTAACTATATTTATTGATATTTTTATACGCCCACACTGAAATGTGGTCGTATATTGTCGTCGCCCCCGTGCTATAGATGCTAAAGTTAGTATCTGATTGCCATTAAATTGATAAATGGTGTTACTTTAAGGTCATGAGACACAGAAACTTATCGATTTTCAAGGATTTCTGGTACTGCCAGAGTTATGGTCCTTGATTACTTCGAAAAATCTTGTGAATACACTACCTACCAAAGTTATCATTCAATTGATTTTAAATTTATACACCATGGTTACGGTCATGAGACGAATACTTCTATTGAATTTCAATAAATACTGCCAGAGTCATAGCCCTTGATTACTTCAAAAAATTGTGTGGATTCTATCTACAGGCCAAAGTTATCATTCGATTGACTTTAAATGTATACACAGAGTTTAAGGTCTTTGATATTGAATGTTTTGTATACTAAATGTTAGGATGGTGCAGATCTAGAAGTCAAACAAATTCTGATTTCTGATAATTCCTTAAAGATACATTATGGAAGATTCGATAACGAGTTGGCAGTTCTCACTATAATAATTAAAAACTAGATAACGTAAAAGGCAATTTGCTGAAAATTTCATTCAAATTGATCCACTATGAACCGAGAACTAAGCGAATAAAATTTCTGCCTAGCCTCGGTCATCATTACTAAAGTCAGTACGTTAAACAGCATAGTCTCGATTATCCATTTAATCGTTTAATCGAGAAGGAAAGTTATGCAGTAAATCGGATCAGAATCCACTTAAGATCGCAGGCTAGCGATGCCATCTAGAGTTGATTATGGTCTGGATAAGTTAATTAATGTCTAATTAATAATTTAGATAACATTTCAGGCCTAAAGAAAGACCTGCAATAGACAGATTTAGCTCTTGCATAATGTATGTTTAATGGGTTGTTACTCTTAATCAGATTTTAGTATATTGTAAATGTTTCATTACCGAGAAAAGAACAAATATGCGACAGACGACTTAGCTGTTGTGGGAATGTGATTCGTTGCCTGGCAACCTATCTTTTCAAACATTTATTAATATGATAGGTTGTACATTTTGGTATGAATGAACGAGTTGGAAATCTCTCTTTTGAAATGCCACAATCAGGAGAAATGGTGTTTGATAAACCTTACAGTGAGCAAACAGCACAACTTATAGATGAAGAAGTTCGGCTTATGGTAAAAGATGCTTATATTAGAACACTGGATCTGCTTACCACACATAAATCAGAGGTAGAAAAGGTAATTACTGATATGTTCTTATTGGACATTGATTTTCTTTTTTTATTTGGCCACATTTCAGTGTAGGCATATTATGTTTTCACACTGTCTGTTGGTCTGTCAACAATTGGCTTGTGAATTCTAAAGAGGTTATAGTCTTTATACACCCATATTGTCTGTAAGTCCTCAATTGCCTGTGGACGCTGTAGAGGCCAAAGTTGACTTCAAATGTGGTGCGAAGCATAGTGGTCAAGAGAGGATGGACCCTATCATATTCATCATTCCGCAACTTTAGGTTCCAGAGTTATCCCCCTTTGCTGAAAATCTTGTGAATGCGATAGAGGCTCAATCTGATTAAAATACAGATCTATATTTCGTTTCGTATTTTTATACTTTTGATGGCCACATGAAGATCTGACCTGTTGTACTTGGAGGTTGCGTCAGGGGTCATATGAGCGGCTTTTGACTCTATGACGTCAGACATTGATTAATCAATTGGCGTTGACGTTTCTCGTGGTTTACCCACAGTTCCATGCAGATCACGCCAAGAACCGTAACAGACCGTTTCATTGGCTAATTATTGCTCACCTCAACTAGAACGCATGTGTTGTTAAGACAAGTAAAACAAAATTTTGAACTATAAAAAACGATACGAAAAAGAATCTGTGTTTTAATCAGATTGATAGAGGCTATATTTTTAAACGGGTTCTTTTTATACGCCCACATTTTCATGTGGACATATTATGCTGTCGCCCCTGTCTGTTTGTGGACACTGTACAGGTCACAGTTTTTATCCGATTTTGACGAAACTTTAAATATAGGTCTATCTCCCAAAGATCTTGGATCCTTTCAATATTGGCATGTATCAGATCATAACATAGACTATGGTCCCTGATTGTACGAACAGTTACGTTTTTAGCTTGTGTACACTCTAGAAATCGCATTTTTCATCTGATTTTGATGAAACTTGAAATGTATGTTTATAACCCAAAGATCTTGGTTCCTTTCGATATTCAAGCATATTATTGCCTGAATTATGGCCCCTGATAGTATGAAAAATTGCATTTTTAGCTTTTAGTCTGATTATCTAATTTAAAAAAACGTTCGACCGGAATGTCAGTTGACTTTGAATTTCGTGAAGCAATATTATTGCTGGCCTTATCGACAGGTGGCTGGTGTCTTGGGTTAAGTTTTATATATTTGATTCTCTTAGACAAGAGATCAAAAACAATGTTTTTCCATTCTCCAAAAGATTTTAAAGGTGCACGTAATTTATCAGAACAGGCTACTATGCATTTCCTGATTTGAGATTTTAGATTATTATGTAACTTTTTGAAATTAGTTTTACTTGGTTGTTCTCGAAATTGTGTTCCGAAGCGAAAAAGGTTTTTAAGATTTTTATCTTCAACAATATCGAAGTTTTCTGTCAGTATATGGTCATGAAACTTGTTTTATTTTATTTATGGTAGTTAAATATTTTATTACGAATTGGAGGTAAAAATTTGTATACGACTGTAGGAATGGTATCTGGTATAGATTTAATTACTGATCGGTCTCTAAAGATTCTATTCAATCCAATGTCTTGTATATGTTGATCTGTAAAAAGGATTTTACCTAACACATCCGGTTTTTTCTTATGCTCTTTATGAGGCTGTATTGAATGTTTAGGTGAAAATTTACTATTTATCAAATCGGTTATAACATCATAATATTGAGGAAGAAAGCGTTCATTAAAGATACATTATGGAAGATAAGATAAAGAGATGGCAGTTCTCGCTATAATAGTTAAAAACTAGATAGTGTAAAGCTAATTTGCTGGAAATTTCAGTCAAATTGATCCACTATGAGCCGAGAAAGAAGCAGGTGAAATTTTTGCATAGTCTCGGTCATCATTACTAAAATCATTAATATAAACAGCATAGTCTCGATTATCCACTTTTTTCTGATTTAATTATCAATGGCATATAGGAATCTAATCCATCCAACATCAAAGGCTAGCCTTGACATCGAGAGTTTATTATGGTCTGGATAAGTTAATAAATGTCTAATTGATAATTTAGATAACATTTCAGACCTAAAGAAAGACTTGTAATAAGCAGATTTTGCTCTTGCATAATGCATGTTTAAGTTGATTAGAATAGATGATATCCTGTATGAGGACACCAAGTTTCTTACCTGTTGATTTTTTCAAAGTGTGTACAATTTATTGGGCTAGGTTGAGTACACAAGTTGCACAGGACAATTTATGAGAAGTATGGCATTAGCATACAGTATACAGTATACAATTCATTCAAAATACTTTCCGGGTCTTTATGAAATTTCAATTTTTTTACAGAACTTTTTTTATTTTGAAAATTATGATCAAGTTATTTGTAACTGTGGTGTTTGTCGATTCATTATGTCATTAATGTGTTTCCATACTTTGTGATAGCTGTAGGTAAAAGTTGTATAGACATGCGCAGTTGATATTGAGATGTACAGTTCCGCCATGCCGATGAATAAATATTGTTAAAGCCTTTCCTGATGTTATCCTTTCACATATAAACCCACAAATAGAATAGTAACAATTTCTTGTAATCAAAGAGTTTTCATCACGGTTGTTATAATCGATATTTTTAAATATATCATTGAGACTATATAGTCCGGGGGCTGAGGGGGGTCCTGTGTGCAATCATATGTCCCCTAATTTTGACTCTTAATCCCTGTAGGGTACCCATAGGAGATTGAAAAAAACTTGGGTAGACATTCCAGTTTTGGGGCAGAAAGGTGTAATTCAAGATGGCGTCCAAAATGGTCGCTGTACCCTTATACCCGATATAACTCCATCTGGATTTATCCTAAAGTGATGAATTTGGTGTCTTTACCGAGGTTTTGGGGATCAAGGAATCCATTGAAATCATTTTCAGGGTGAAAAAAGTAGCGGGTAATGGTGAATTCCAAGATGGCCGCCAAAATGGCCGCCACGCCCTTTCGGCTAGCCTGTCAAGGTGCATAATTGAGCGAGGAGAATAAACTTGGTGTCTTTTCTAGGGTTTTAGAGGTCAGGGATTTCACGCAGACCATTCACTCTGCCGGAAGAACAATTTATCATTGTTAATTTCAGTATAGGGCAGCCAGTTGATCAGGATACTGGTTTTACTCAACCAAATTGTCAGAAGGATTTGTCTATGTGACAGAGATTGGATACTTTATTAACATCTAGAGATAAACTATTGCATTTTGACAAGTGTTGTTATCTTGAACAATGCCGTACACAATATTCACAAATATACAAATGTTCACCTTAAATAAGTTGTACAGTTAGGATCATTTTTCTGACTATCATTTTTTTATGAACTACACCTACTCTGTCAATTTCTCAAAATACCACCATTAGGGTTTTTGCATTGGTTGCACTGACTGTTTGCCTGGCATTTACAGAATATGCAGCAGCGGACATTACTTTCTCTACAAGGACAGGAGCGAGTGGCACATTCACACAGTTAGATTTCAAAGACACTTCATCTGGCAAATTTTTTATCGACTGTGTGGGTGTTGGCAACGAATGGACTCGCTGAACTTTGGCACATAGTCAGACAAATCCTTCTGACAATTTGGTTGAATAAAACCAGTATCCTGATCAACCCCCAAAACCTAGGTAAAGACACCAAATTCATCACTTAAGGACAAATCCAGATGGAGTTATATCGGGTATATGGGTACGGCGACCATCTTGGATGCCATCTTGAATTACACCTTTCTGCCCTGGAATGTCTACCCAAGTTTTTTTCAATTCTTCTATGGGTACCCTACAGGGATCAAGAGTCAAAATTAGGGGACATATGATTGCACACAGGACCCCCCTCAGCCCCAGGACTAATAAGGGAAAATGGTCTGTAATTTTATTATCCAAGTTTCCTCTGTGAGAGTTATTTTTTGTGTAACAGCAGGATCAAGTTTGCCATTAGTGAGGTGTCCTGAACCGGGAAGTTTTTCAATTATTTGTATTCTGTATCCAAAATCCTTACAGGGATTTTGTTTAAAATGTTGATATAGTTTGTGTGCATTTTCAGAATTTCCTGCAGATCTATGATTATTAAACCTTGTTTTACAAGATTTACTGGTTTCCCCAACATACTGTAATCTGCAGTAATTGCAGGTCAATAAATATACTATATTTTGTGTATTACAATTAAGGTTTTGATCTGTAGAAATATGGTAGCATCTACCAGTAACGGAGCTACCAAATGTATGGGCTTCATTGTAATCAGTACATAATTAACACTGTCTATAGTTACAAGCACCAAAAGACAGACTACAAAATTCACAATTTTATTCGAATCAATTGAATTATTAGGTTGGTTACCCTTATGAGTAAGATTTGAAGTCACATTAGTCAAAATTCCTCCCAGATAAATATAAATAAATAAATAATCATGATAATGATGATGAAAAATGTGTAGTAAGTAAACAGGAGCGAAACCCGACGAGAACATTCTACAGTACGAAAGGTTAAAAACTCTACTCTTATAGTAAGTGCAGAGGGACTGCACTATATATAATTTACACAGAAACAAATACAGGATTCAGTACTCGTACTGATAACACCTAATGCACCAGAGCTCCAAAGCTATCGACTAAATTTATCTCAGATAAAGTAGCCTAGCTAAGACTCCAAAAAGACTTCTCAAACCCAGAAAGACCACTAGATACTACAAAGATCATCTAGTCCAAAAATAGATTTAAGTTTGTCTTTGTTTTTATTTTTATACCTTCACAAGGTATAAGGTTTATTTTCTTTATATTTTGCATTCTTAATTTATCTTATTTTATTTTACTTTATTTTCGTTAATTTACTTAATTTTCTTTTCCTTACTTCCTTCCTCAGTGCTTTATTATTAGGATATTGTTAGGATATTATTTTTACCTTATTTCGATATATTAGATATAAGCTAATTTTCTTACATTTTTCTTCTATTTCATATTTCTCCACTGCTAATCTAATCTATTTTTTTGTTACTTCTTCTTTTTGCCCCTTTTTT